GTGGATGCTGGGAAAGTAGTGTGTATTTGTTTTCTTATATATTGTATCTCTGTTCTTTTTCAAAGCCAGAAAGCAAAGATGAATTTAGATGTGGAATTAGGATTTCTCCTTATTAGCTGGGGTGGAGACTATATTTCTAGATCTTTTTTTCTTTACCTATGAAAATCTTGCTACTGGATTCAACAGCAAGCTGTGGGAATAACGTTCTTCACATAGCAGGAGAGTCCATACACATACCTGAAACTCAGGAAGCTATTGAATCTTCGGCAAATTTAAAGTGCAAAAAATTTCCGTGGAAAGGAGGGATAAAGAAAATCCATGCCACTATTTCTGCTATGGATATCCCAAAGAACTTAGGGTATTCAAGGCCATAGTTCTAGTCATACTTTTAGTCATTTGCAGTCCAACAATCTTCCAAAATCTAAATCTTCTGTACATTTACTGGTTTTAAGGCTTATGGGTGTACTGTCTTCCCTTAACTATGCTCTAGGGTTAGAGATCTGCACAAAATTTAACTTCTTGGTTAAGTTCTGATGATCTGAATGTTGCTTTTTGCCTGTGACATCTGGAAAGACGAATTGTGTTTTAGAGGTATCAGGAGGTGCTTATTCTACACTGAGTGTCACTTAACAAGCTGCGTTGTTGGCCCTCAATCTTTTCTCATCTCTTGAACTCTCTTAGAGAGGTCAGACTGAGCAAAGCACAATGACCTCTAGCAGTATGCCTGGTTAAAAAAAATAATTTCTAAACAGCTTTTGAATAGCAGAATTAAAACCATATGGACATTGTAATAAGAATTTGGTTTTCCATTTTACATGTATTATCAGAGCTGAAGTAACCCATATGAAAAATGTGATGGGTTTTTTCCTTGCATGTCTGCATTTGCTTCTGTTTAATGTTCTTATTTCTACTTGTTAATGTTATAATCCTCTGAGGTGTATTATAGTTACTCTGCAATGCTAAGTTCTCTTGACTGTGATGTACCTTTCAAAATGACATGTGTTTCTATGTGCTTTCACACCTATGTAAGTCAAAATAATATTGTGAGTGTTGTCCTTCTGTTTTGCCCTAATTTATGCAAGTTGATTTCTCAGGACGTTCCTCTTCAGAGAGACTACCCAGCAGATAATGAAACAAGAAGTCTGAGGGAAAAAAAAGGACAAATGCTTAATTCTTACCCATTCAGGGCAACTGTTGTTAATTTTTAAATTATTCTCTTTTTCCCCAAGTGACTTTTAAAACATTTTGATCAGGGAACAGTAGATTCTAAAACCAGAAAAAGTTAAGATAAATTTTAGATCTGATTAGGTTACAGCTAAACTTTGCACACAAAGTGACCGCAATTGATTATGAATTTGTGTGAGCTTTAAACTCACAAATTCAGGAACTGATCAGGAATCTGGCTACTATACTCAGAGCAGTTTTTTAGCTGAAGATGCAATATAGGTGTATGCTTGACGTAAAGCTGTTTACAACCTGTCTAATTCTTAGGATGATGACAGGGGTCTTTTACTCTTCCTTTGTCCCAGAAATTCTGCTCCTGTTGCTGTTTGAAGATTAAAAAATTCTGTCTAGGTGTCTTCAGTCTTCACCTAGGATGAAACATAAGTGCAAAAATGGCGAAACATCTGCACCCATTTCTGTTGTCTTTATTTCTTACAAGTAAATGTTTGAGAACCTCCTGTCTTGTCACATATTGTAAATGAAAGCACAGCTGCTAAGCCAGTGACCAGTATGAATTCCAGATAGACCTGTTTCCTTGTCTCAGCTGTTACAAACCTTCATTTAATTTTGGGGAAAAAAAACCCCAGCAATTACTATTCAGGAAAAATACAATGTAATCTTTGGTATTGTAAGATCAACAGAAGACTGCTATTAATGGAGGATTGTGTCTCACCAGTGTGAGAATATTTGGGTTTTTTTATTTTTTTAAGTGTGCAATTCAAATCCAAGGCAGTCTGCACAGGTTTGGCTGCAGGTGACTGTTTAATGCCATTATTTCCATTGTTCTTGTCTCTGTTTCTAACAGCTGTTTTTAAATGCTAACAATAAAGTGGCAGACAAGAGTGAGAAAGACCTTGCCAACAAATTACTGACAGAAATGAATGAGGACCAGGTACCTACCTAACCTCTGTTTTGCTTCAGTTGAAGTCAAGACACAATCACAGGAAAATTGATTCCTGTGCTTCACCTTAACCATTCTCTTGAAGCCTTCTGCAGTAAGATAAACTTGTGTTGCTGCACACACCAGTATTCCCTGTCTCCAGAAAATAATTTTTCCGAATAACCAGTTAAATTCAATGTCAGTTTTATCTATCTGCTTCAAATTACAGATATTTGCAATATTGAGCATCAGTTATGCTTCTTTTAAGGAAAAGGTGAAGTACATGAATGGAATCCAAATAAATTCTGTCAACCTGGTGGTGATTTTTCCCTCCTCCTTTTCCTCTTTTTTGCTTCTTTGTCTGAGCACTGTGGTGTTTTGGATTCTGGGGCCTTGTTTGTGAATCTCAGTCGTTGTATTTGTCCTGATTTTTTTGCTTGTCATCAAGAACAGATGTTCACAAAACAATGGACAGGCTGAATCAGGGAGGTAGGAATAGCCTGTTTTAATTTTCCCCAAAATATTGTGGAAATTTTCAAATGCAAATTGTTGTATTCATTTTATAGTAGAATGATTTTGGTTTGACCTAAAATGTAAAGAAATGCTAAATGCAAGGTATGGTAATCTACAAATTGTGATTCTAACTAATAGCTTTGGCTTTTGTAGAAACTGAGTGCAACACTCTAACCGCATGTAAATGTTTCTTCACATCTAACACTGTCTTTGATTCTTGATACTTCATTTTCAAAACATGTCTGATATGCATATATTTCAGAGATGATGAAACAGAATATGTTTGTTTGCAGTTCTGCTGATTAGATTTACTGATGGATGTGAAATAGTGCTCCAACATTTTTGTCCTTAAAATCACCATAGAAATATCGATATAAACAAGAATTATAGGGTAAAAAAAAAAAACCTTAAAAGATGCCTTAAATTGGAAAAAGAGATGTTGATTTATGCAGTGAAGCTTATGGGTGAGGCAGCCACCTTACTGTGCTGGTGTAATTTCTCTCTTACATTTTGTTTGTGTGTGTGTGCTGTATTGGTGTGTAGGGACTTGTATGGAAAAGGAAGCACTTTGTATGTTTGCTTGCTAAGTGACTGCTACAGCTGAACCCTGGACAGAACTGCAGGTGTCCAGCAGCACACACACACATACTGCAAGAGGTTTCCTAATTTGTTTTCCTCCCTCCCTCTTGAGGTTGTCCATTAGACGCATGAGGAAAACCTGTTTGTCCATCAGAATATTTGAAGTGCAATGTGTGTTGTGAATGCTTCTCTCCTCTTGAAGTATGTGGCTAGTTGTCTTCTGTTATGTAATTCCTGTAGGCCATGGGATTATGAAATCTTGACTGGTGGGGAGATGATTTTTGAAGCATGCTAACAAAATCTTGGTTTCCCTCCTGGCAGGAGGGCACAGTATAGATTTTGGAGCTGAACTATCTTTGCATATTTGTATATAACTTCTGTACCTGCTACTTTCAGGTGTTTCAGGGGTACCTAGACCGCTTGGCAGTATCAACCATTCAAGCCCTCACAGCAGTAATGCACAATTCTCCGGCTGCTAAGGTAACAGTATATATGCAGAGGTCTGTTTGCAGTAGGCTTCTTGATCTTGTGTCCATTTAGTGTTTTTATCACAGTATCTTGACGAATCTTGCTAGTGAAGGCAAGCAGGTTGAGGTCATGCA